TCCATCTTTCTTTGCTTTTGTCATCTACAGTGCTACGGTAACTGTTTATCATTTTATTATTTTCAGCACTAATGAAATTCTTTGGATTTTATTTATTTGTATGTTTTAACTGAACTGGTTTCCCTCTCCATTTGTTTTACGTCATCCATGTATACCCCAATCTAAATTTAGCCTGAAGTAGAAGCAAACCTTAAAGAAAAGAAGAGGATACATCAACTGCAGAAACGAAGGAGACGTAGACAAGAGGTAAACTAATGACGAAATATCTCATTTAGATGACATGGAACGATGCACATAATTTATGAGTAAAAATGAACAAGATATGAAAATGTACTGCAAATATTTAGACTACCTTGACACAATTTAGTTTGAAACGTGATTACCGTAGCCGCCGGGAACATAAGCCTAGCATAAGATTGTTTTGTCAGCATGATAGTCTATATTTCGAGGATAAGGGGGACAAAGATTTGAATTACAATAATTCATTGTGTTTGCAAGGACTGGTAACACTGGAAAATGATCTGAAATTAATTTACGAAATGAAAAAAAATATGTGTACTTGTATATGTATTAGACATTTAAAAAGACATGGAATCGCGCAATTCTGTCGTGAGAATGTCATAATAATTATGGTAACAATTTGCTTCATAATTTCATCTCTCTGTTCCTGCAGAAAAGGCAAGAACAGTCCAGTGAATGTTACACCGAGGTAAAGTACAAATAAATAATTGTTCAGTTTTATTAATAATTTTTGTTATTCAATTTAACTTGTGCTGTTTATGATATAGAACAGATCAATATTTCCTTCCGAAGCTTACGTGATCTAAATATAGATTGATTTTAGCCTAAGCAAAGACCATATATCCATATAGACACACAATATGTCAATCACAGAAAAATGAGTTGCAGAATTCCATATCATTTTGCAGCATCTTGTAGGATATCGTGAAATACATGTATATGTAATTCTGTAATCCTTCGTTTGCAAGCTTAGGTACGTAATTTGTGAAGAATCTGAGTATTATAATGTTGGCGCTTTATCCATAATCAGATGATGTACTATATTTTCTTGATATTGATTATAATTATTGTTGGCTTATCTAAATTATTGTAGGAGTTTATTATTTTCTTGTATTAAACGTGACTTTCGAAGCGATGTTCCTCAAATCGTGTACCGTCCAGAAAATGAAAGCTTTATATATGCAAAAGGTAAATTTTAAATGAAAAAGATGTGATCATGGTATGATGACCTTTCCCCCCTTCCAAAAACAGGGGGGAAAAAAAGGGGAAAATACGATTGATACTGAACGATTGGGTGAGCACTATTTTTTTTGTTTTGCTCCCGAAAATTTGAAAATAGCGCCGGCCGAAAAGTCGCTCAGTGGGGGGGGGGGGGGGGTAGTGACCACATTTTCTTTTTTTGGTCCTCGAAAAAAATTCATTTGCACCCCCCCCCCCAAAAAAAAGGTAAAAATCACGTGATTTTACATTATTTTTTTCTCAAGGGGGGGGGGGGAGCCCGGGCCCCCCCCCCCTGGATCCGCCACTGTGTACAGGTCATTCACATCTAATTGCTAAAGTTCGCAGAATGTGGCATCGTAAAATGACGTTTTGATGCGGGGAGATGCTTGATAAACCCTTTTTGTTGTTGCATGATAGACTAATTTAGACACGTTATGAAATCCTGTTAGCTATCTAAGCACGCGTACATTAGCAAGTGTGCGCTTGTAACAAATGACTGGAATGCTCCCCAGGGAGCCTGAATCTAGTGACCGGGGTAATAATATATATATATATATATATATATATATATATATATATATATATATAGGGAGCCTGAATCCAATGACCGGGGTAATAATATATATATATCTGTAAAGCGCTTTGAGAGGCCTTCGGTCCTCAAAAAGCGCTATATAAAGAACTAGCTATTATTATCATTGTTTTATTTTACCATTAATTTGTATGCATCTCTGGGGGACTTTCTTTTTACTTTAGAACACGGGTGGCCAACCCTTTTAAAGCTCGCGGGCCACAGCGAACGATTAGCATTACTTTGCGGGCCGTAGGTAGTCTTCTCTCCCCCCCCCCCCCCCCCACACACACTCATGCAATACATTGTTTGCAAAAACAAACTAGCACACAACAAAATCAGGAGAAAAAAGTCAGGCTTACTATTTTAGTGTGATTTCCGGGGATGCATTTGATTGACAAATTACAGCAAGTCAGGCTTCAGAACCATCGTACCAAGCCAAAAATGGTTGTGAGTTTCAAGAAAAGTATGGCATATCATTTCTCGATTCACAACATATTCACAAACGTTACTGCGTGCGGAAATTACAAACTGAACTTAACACGGCGAATGATGTTAATGTCGTTAATGTAATGTAATAAGAGGGAATAAGAGGAGTTTTGTATCAACCACTCGTAACGAATCAATATGTTGTGAATGTTGAAAACAAATTTTGGAAATAGATGTCCTATTTCATCGCAACTATAGGCGGGCCGCATTTCATTCATAAGCTATTTTTACAATTACTTTTTCAATGCTCCGCTTGCCGCACCAGAAGACCTCGCGGGCCGCGGTTTGGCCACCAGGACGATATTCTATTATAATGAGCACCCAAACAACTTTATTACTATGATAGTTAAAAAGATATCATATCTACAAAGACTCGAAGAGTACTAATTTATTGCACAAAAGCGGGACTTCAGCAATTTCAAACAATGTACACCTCTTGCCCTGCTGATTTGTGAAATGGAGATTGGGCCTTTGAATATTGATATAGACTTATTCATGTGTTACAGGAGGAAGTTCTGGAATCGGCAACAGGATCAAGAGTACAAGATGATCGCCAGGATCCGATTGTGAGTCTGTAAACTATGATTAGTTGTTTCTCCTTAAATGCCTAAATGTCCTTGAAAATATTGAGAATTTTATTCTTATAATTATGTCGACAGGATTTTACTTTATTACTATGATAGTTAAAAAGATAGCATGTCTACAAAGAGTACTAATTTATTGCACAACAGCGGGGCTAAAGCAATTTCAAACTATGTACAGCTCTTGCCCTGCTGATTTGTGAAATGGAGATTGGGCCTTTGAATATTGATATAGACTTATTCATGTGTTACAGGAGGAAGTTCTGGAATCGGCAACAGGATCAAGAGTACAAGATGATCGTCAGGATCCGATTGTGAGTCTGCAAACTATAATCTGTAAACTATAGTACGTATGACCAGTGGTGTAGCTGTAAGTCACGCGCCATGTTATGGTTCGGTTCGGTCCGGTTCGGCAGAGTTCGGCAATTTTTAACCGAACTTTGATTCGGTTCGGGGTTCGGTAATACAATAGCAAGACTAAGAAAAGTCCGCAAATATATTCACTCCTAAACTTGATTTACTACGCTCGCGTGGCCCCTGTCACATTCCACCAGCCTTCAACTAACGATTCACTTGAGAAACATTTTTATCTGTTATGTTGACATAATTATATCATTCAACGACTCAACTCTTATCTCAATCTCTTGCTGAGTGACTTGATGGCATAGAAAATGTTACGCAATGTACGTTCTCTACGTATAACCAGATGCAGGGAGGGAGTTCCCATTTATATCTTCCATATTTCACTCCTATACCTCCATTCTTTTTCCTTCTCTGATTTACACTACATGATTTAGGACTTAGATCGCATCACCCCAAAGCAATTTTCGATAATCGTTTAATGCGCCTCTAGCATTATATTTCATTAAAGACTTATCATAGTCCCCACGTTACCGATCAACTTAATAGTACAGTATTTTACATATCCTTATATTATTTCACATTCATTTTCCTTCTTTCATATCTCCCCTCGATCTCATCTCTTTCATTTGCCATTTGGACGTCCTTCCCCCCCCCCCTCCTCTCGTGCAGAGCTACACGCGACATGTACATTAAAACAGTGTGTTCGGCGTTGAAAAAAAAAGGGAAAGGGAGTACAAACTGATGAAAGGATCCCTCATACCCCTCCAACCTAATCGGTGGCCTTGTTAATTCACATTTCAACAACAAAGTACAGTGTAATACCGGTGTCCTTGTCGAACAATGCCCCATCTATTAGCTTGTCAATGTGTTTGATTTGAATTGCTTGGGAAACAGATACAAATTGTAAGCGACTAAGCTAAAACCCGTATGAATTATTATTATTATTATTAAGTATTTGGCGTCACCTGTGCAAGGGAGGCAAAAAGCGAACTGAAACACGTACCATCGGGTCTCTTCATTTGGAGTGGACTTTAAAAGATTATTATTATTATTATTATTACAACGGGGTTTTCCCCTATTCTTATACGAATAGTCTAGTGGGTTCTCAACGTACAAAGGTGGTGACTTTCCTCTACACAGGGCCTCCATTTAACGTCCTATTTAATGGACGGAGTGTTTTAGTCTGCGTCTACGAAACGAGGGGAGAGGCACGTTATACAACGCAGGCTTCAGTAATCTGCCTGGGATGGATTTGAACTCGAGATCTTTGGTTCGACAGGCAGACGCTTTAACGACTGAGCCAACTCGCCTCCTTAACTCCTTAATGAAGGGTGATTCGCAAAAAATGTCATGGGTTGGTTATTGAAAGTGAAAATGAATCCAATGATACAATGCGTGTATGCGTCATTATAGGTTCGAGACCAGGTTGGGATAAACTGAGGTGAAGTGGTAAAGAGGAATCGATTGAGATGAATCGATCGTGAGTTGAGGAAAGAGAACGATGAACGTGTGAAAAGAGCGTGGGATCTAGAAGAGGATAGCACAAGGGGCAAAGGAAGACCGAAGATTTCTTGGAAAGAAATGGTGAAGAAAGAAAGCAGTAAGGTTGGTTCAAATGGGGGAGTGTGCTCGAGACAAGAAGAAGAGGAGAGAAGGGGTGTCATCATGACCCGAAAGTAAATAACCCTTTGTAAAAGGACAGTTATGATGATGATGATAATTTCGTCAGAAATCGCAGGAATGTTAATGATTGTTTACACACCGGAGGTTGTACATTCTAGTCCTTCGATTTTGGAGTTGTCTGTCCTGAACACCCATCTTCCAGGTACACCGATATTCGATGTCGTTTCGATATCGGCGACGGCTGCTGTTTGAGATCCAGGGACACTGTAAAAGGTCACTCCGTCACCAGCGTTGAATCCAACCTAAGAGGCAAAAATGTGACATTTGAAGCAATACTTCCGAACTAATGTAACTTGTCTCATTCCATGTCATATTGCCCTTTTCAGTGTTTGTTCCCCCTAACAAAACTAAGAGAAAGAGAGAAAGTCGTCAGAGTGGTTTTTTCTATCTATTAGTTGGCGAGAAACAAATTTGACAAATTTGACTGACTCTAAGGTACTGCGAAACTGCTTTTCTTTGTATGGTTGGAAACAGACCAAACGGATTTAGAATTCGATTTTACGTTATCGATCAAAATCTACACTAGCTTTGATTTTTGATTATGTTCTCTTTTTAAGGTAACGATTATAAAGTGTTTGTTTAATCCCTGTTATCGATACATCCAGCATAGCATATGAACGGGTCTTATTTTCCAGCAGTGCATCATTACTTGCACCGAAGCATCACCCTTTAATCTTTGTGACTGCACAGTTCACGTCAGCCTTTTGCATTCCCGACTAAACTAAAAACAAAATCATGGAAAGGAAATTTAGACCATAATACCAGAGTCACAACCGACACCAAACTGACCAAATTACATTACACCAAATGATGCCTAGGAGTCAATTTAGGGGTATGACTGATGTATTATTTCATAGAAATGGGGGGGGGGGGGGATAATGTAATACATGAGCTCGTTATCATAAACACAACCGTGTTCCTCGTTTATAAGAAGAAGGAGGTATAAACCAAACGTCATAATGATTTACCTGAGCTGGGATACCACCAACACCTTTATCACGATTACCACCACTGGCAGCTCCTGTTGTCCAGTTGATATCACCGTAATTAAAGATGGCGAAGGAGTGTCCGCCATCTGTCACCATCACAGCTTGAAAGGAATTCCTCTGAAGTAGATATCAACATTATCAAAATCTATATCTTGATATAATATTATACAAATAATGAATGGTTATGAGTTCAATACTTCTACTTCTACTTTTATGGTGATACTCACCAACGCCTGTTCAGCATCTAGATGAGGGTAAAGCATAGAGTTGTTATATACAGCTCTATGCGGTACACTAGTTCCTGAAAAGGGAACTAAATTGTTTCAATAGCCACCTTGAACTGCTCCAAAGAAGGCAGTTCAACGATGATTTGAGGTAGCTCGTCCCAGACCTTAAGTGTCCTGGGGAAATAACTAAATTTGAAAGTGTCCATCGAAGAGCCTATTCTCATATATTGTTGTTGTTGACTCCTCCTTGTAGTTCGCTGCCTCTGTAATCCGGTATTGGTATTGCAATTTCGTTTAATTGCTATCTTCTAGAACATTGACAAACATGCCCGTTTTTTTCTTTCTTCAAGTTTTGGGAGATTAAGTTGTTCTCGCATGGATGTTAAACTTGCATCACGCTGGTAGTTTCCACAAATGAAACGAAGTGCACGTGTTAGGACCTACTCTAGTTGGTCTATCTGATTCCGCTTGTTGGGGTCCCATACTACCGAAGCATACTCTAGCTGGGACCGTACGAGAGAGTATGCCAGTTTTTTTCACTTCTCTTGGACATTGTCTTCCAAGATTCCTCCGAATGAATCAAAGGGTACTCGAGGCCTTGTTTGTGACCGCATCTACGTGCGATTTCCAACTTAGACGCTCATGTAGCTCGATTCCAAGATATGCTTTGCTGGCCACACCTAGAAGATCATCTCCCCTCATAGTATACGTGTGCATTATGGGATGCCTCTTTCTGTGAATTCGCATTGAGTAGCATTTTTTTGGCGTTGAATTGCATTTGCCAACGATCAGCCCACTCCAAGAGTCTGTCCATATCTGATTGAAGTTTTATCGTGTCATCTACAGATGCTATTCTCCGCATCAAAAGGCAATCGTCCGCAAATAATTTGATGATAGAATCGACCTCGGCACCAATATCATTTATTAATAAGAGGAACATAAGAGGACCTAGAAAAGTGTCCTGAGGCACTCCTGATGTGACATGAACCGACGTTGAAGCCTCTCCATCAACAACCAGTCGTTGCGTCATGGTAAACCAAGTTGATATCCAGCTTAGGGTCACATCACGAATTCTGTAGTATTTCAGCTTACTTAAAAGCCGTTGATGAGCAACCTTGCCGAAGGCCTTGGAGAAGTCCAAAATCATTACGTCTGTTTGATGGTTGTTATCTGGATAGTTTTTCCACCGTAGTGATGAGTTGGGATTCGGTAGAATGCTTTCTGCGGAAACCATGTTGATACTTTACAAGTATATCATTTTCATCCAGATGTTCCATAATGGAACGATAGTGCGAATATTTTCATGAGTTGAATAGAATTAACGCTAATCTTTCAACGAATATATTCGCACTATTACACGAATGAAAAACATTCATTATTTTTTTTAAACAACATCGAAAAAGATCTAACAGAACGTTAATCAACAAATTATGCTTTACTCCTTATATCAAAATTAAATTAAAGTTGGAGTCAAGCCTTCTCGATTACATTCAGATTGCCTTCGCGTCAGATACACGCAGGGATACGCGCACGGCAGAGAGGTACGCAGTCTGCATATAACCAAAAATGCACGCTCGTGCAATATAACATCTATTGAATATCATGTGACCAACAATCCTCCAATCAACCTAATTGGTCAATTATTGATCACATGACATTCGCCATAAGTACTGCCGAACGGCATCATTCTCCAGTCGTGTAATTTCGTTTGATCCTTTCGCAACATTGCACGCTGACGTCACTAACGATGTACACAATATATGGTGAGGTAAGTGACGTCGCCGTGCAATGGTACCAAATAATCAATCGACATTGCACTCCGCATCAAAATAAACATATATCTTTGTACGCGCGGCGCATGGTATGCGCATGGTTTGCTGCCTGCTTAATAGTGCGCGCTCACTATCGGCAATTTCATGAATTAAAAAAAAAATCGTTGAGATTTAGGCCCCCAATACTGTTTTTAAGCCTATTAACATACAAGGTGTTGTATAAAACAAATAGTGAATTGCCTTTATTCGTGCAATGGAACAAGATTTTGCATTCGGTGAAAGATGAGATGCTGTATTCAACTCGGCTGCGCCTCGTTGAATATAGCGTCTCTTATCTTTCACCTCGTGCAAAATCTTGTACCATTGCACTCATGGCCATTCACTATTTGTATAATATTTGATGACACAAAACGGATAACACGGCAGGATGGTGAATTAAATGACTCTCAACTTTTAGTAATTTCAGTGATAGATAAAGACGTACCAATTAAAGTGAAAAAAGGCGAAAACATGGATTGTTTAACGGACTAAAATGCATAATCAGTCAAGTAGTGTTTACAAATTGTCGCATGTTTGTTCAGTTTTATTTCTAAGAGGTTTGCACTTGGGTCTGATATCTGCTGTTATCCTTTTATCATGTATGCAAATTCGCTGACGGGTCTTTCAAAAAGGCCAATGTCCTTAAGTTAATGCAAGATTATATAAGAAATGCCGACTATGTTTTATTCTCGTAGAATTTCGTCGGTTCTTTTGTTATCACATCGCCATAACACGAGAAAGAACCCGAAATCCATAATACAGTGGCGACAGATGATACATAGGTTCAGCGGCGAACTATCGATCAAGCCAGTTTACTTACGATGGAGGTATCAAAAGCACCAAAGAAAGCTACGCTGTCCCAGGTCGCGATGTACATCCATGACGACACAAAGTCTCTCATGTCAACAAATGATGCTCTTATCACTTCATCAGCTTCGAGGAATATGCCGTCGTTTTGGGTGAATCGTAAGACTTGTCGATAGGATAAAGTTCCGCCATTACGCGTGTCAACATCAGCCCAGAATGGAGTCAAAAGTCGTCGGCCGTCAGCGAGTGGAAACGGATAAGGGGTATATTGAGAAACTCTTTCCAAGAACGAGATGACACCGTTATTGTTGACCTGCATCAACATTAATATGAAAGCAATTAGTAGTAGATTTTAGTGACAAGGCTGGAATATCGTAGAGAGAATGAGAGGAAAAGCACGGAACGAAAACAAAGAAATGGGGAGACATATAGTGAAGGCGGTAGTAAGTATTGTTTTAGCCAATTCATGAGGAAAATTGAAAAAGTAGAACGGTATTAAATGGAGTTTAAAAGAAGACAAATTAATCAGCTCGTACGGATATATACACACACACATACGCACACACACACACACACACACACACCAACACACACATGTCAAGAGAAATAGAGGCATGGTATGTAGTAATAGAGGACAAGAGAATAATAGAGTCAAAGAGAGAGTGAGAGACCAATAAAGACAGAGGAATAGAGACAAGAAAGAAGGAGAGAAAGAGAGAGAGAGAGATAGAGAGAGGGAGAGAGAGAGAGGGAGAAGGGGATGGGGTGGGTGGGGTGTGGAGAAGATCATCGTTTGCAACACTTCATACATATACACGAACATTGATGAAGTGGTATACAATTAAATTACCTGTACTTTCGAATTTTGAAATCAAACCAAATGGGGATTTTTATGATTTATTTGGAATCATAATTGAATATGTTATTAAAGTCAAATTTAACCCTAAAAAGGCCCTCCACGATTTTTCCGATTGCTCGGGAACGCATATGGATGGCTCCCCGCCGCTCGCTGACTTTTTTTTTTTCGAGTCTTGCGCATCTTTAAAACAAAATTGAAAATCTGACCAACAGTTACAAGGTCACGTGACCTTTTGTCTTTGCATGTCAGCCCGAAAATCGCTCATTTTTGTGATTTGTGTACAAAACATGTAAATGTAATTTTTCCTAAAAATTGGTTATTGGGGTTTGTTATAAGTTTAGGTGGTTGTTTTGGGAGTCAAAATTGTATTGTAATTGAATTGTAGTAAGAAATAAAATAATAAATAAAATACATAGGTTAAAAAAACAATGAAATACATAAGAAATTATCAAAACAATAGATAACAATAGAAATACGCTGGCTCTTCCAAACAAAATTGTCGTCTTTTTTATTCCAAATGGTCTAATGAATATATGTAGTGAAAAAGAATGCTTAAATATAAATAATATATGATTTATTGGTAAAAATGTGATTTAATGACCTTATTCGCATAAATTACCATAAATATGCAAATAAGTAAATTTTTCAAAAAATTTAAATTATCAAATTAATTTTATACACTTCACTTGACATGCGTGCACATTTTCGCGGGGATCGGCCGCTTCACGGCCAAAATCTTAAGGGGGGGGGGGCATAATGGCCCCCATCCCCGGCCGTACTAAGACCTCAAATAGCCCGGCCTTTTTAGGGTTAAGGCAAGTGGAGCGCCCGCTACACTGATCATCCGTCCAATGTGTATTTGTCATTACTCCCATTCATCACTCCATACAAAACCGGGATCCATTTTTCTATTGTAAATACCACACGCAGTATTATAATATCTACTGCAGTGCGTGCGATTTTACAGCATCGTAACAGGACTTGGTTTGAGGCAGACATTTTAAACAGACAATCAAGGTAAGTCTAATTTGTTTTTCCTCCGTTAGCGCGATAGTTCCAGCAAAATTTATATTTGAGTGTGTTTTGACAGGAATAATTTATTGAATGCTATATAGTATTATCTTACCGCTGATATGATTCAAATCATGAGATCATAAATCATGTCTAATTTTACTTTAAGTCGTCATTTTGTTGATGGGTGCATATTTGGGACACAGAGGTGTTAATGGTGAGGATGCAGTTTGTGTGGTTGTATCCTTTGATATGACTCTGATCACGGAGAAATTCTAAGAAAGTAGGGATTATCGATCAAGAGACAAACTAGCTATGAGCAAGAGAGGATCAAAACCGAAATGTGTATTACGTGTTGAAATTTGTTGTTGATTGTAAATGAAAATCATACAACTTGTGATACTATAAACAACAATACTTATTCCGTTCTCTTGTATAGTATATTCACTTCCAATGAGTTGAAAACAAGATTACTTCTATATTATAGTACTTATGAAAGGTCGTCGCGAATTATTTGTAATATTTGATGGAAAGTTCAAAAGTGTCATATTGTAGGGTAGGCTTGCAAATCTTGAAACCTATACAATTACAAATTGAAATAGTATACTCATGTATTCCAGATTATTATGAAGATTTGGGACAATATAAGCATTAAATAGTGCCGAAAACAATACTCACTCCATTATGACTGTTTAAAATGCTGGTACTAGACTGAATGGCAATCCGTTATGTGACATTTCATTAAAATTATTCAGTACAGAGTCATATTAGCATCATTTCGGCCATCTTTTCATTGGGTAGTGTTGGGTTTATTTTTGTACGAGAGATTTCCATTTAGCAAAAGACATTTCCCATTTTTCGTACTGTACACGAATTAATTTTTTGCTTGCTCTGTTTACCTCTCAACTCATTACGAAAAAAAAATATGTTGTTTATATTGATTGGAAATCAATGTTTGTTAAATATATATCGATATCGTGTATGAATGGTAGTAACGTCCCCGTGGTTACAGATAAGTATATAGAATTACGGGGATTTGTTTACATCTTGGTCTTTAAAATTAATCTTTCCTGTTTACACAATATCCTGAACCGGAGATCATTAATCTTCAACCATGCCCACTATAAAGTACTAGCTCCTGTGAACTCACACCTACGAAGTTTGTATAATCATGTACATATGTTAATAATTCATTTACTAAAGCTTGGACTTGGCATTGTATAGCCTGTAATCTATAACTTATAATCTATGAAGGTATAAATAGTTATGTAGGCGCTTTGAAAGGCTTTTTTGGTCAAAAGCAACGCTTCAGAAATGTATATTATTTACTATTATTTATTCACCAAATCAAGTTGTTTGACATTCTTAAATGAACAAAGAGAAGGAGTACAATAATAAGAGCACTGAAATGTTTGTAGCTGGTCAATTTAAGATGACTTCTTGGGGTTAAATTTTGTCTTAGAACCATTCTTCATCGAGAAAGTAGCTGCTTTTCAGCATTGAATGCCGTGAATAGACGTTTAAATATAACGATACATTCAAGCGAAATGATATGAAAATAACTCACAGAAAATATAACAAGAATAATAAAATCAAAATGAATACGAAAAAAAGATAAACATCCTTTGAAAGACCGATTATAAGCAGCAGATGAAAGAACTTGAAAAGAACACAATCGTCTATTTTTTTTAAAATTGATATGTGGCGGTGTGCAAGGCCCTTCACCGCCTTAAAAACCTACGGTTACACATTGTATGCAGGTAAATCATATGCGTCATCTTTTTTGTCGCCATCACGAATTGTTAAATCTTCCATTGTATAAGTGTCACACAGTTTCGCTTTTTGTACTTCACACAAGTGTACAAACAACAAACTCGACTTATTATAAATGATATATTGTTAATATATAGGTGAATTAAAGTCTGCGAGGCCGCCACATTTGCACACAAATGGACTTCTTGGGGTTAAATTTTGTCTTAGAACCATTCTTCATCGAGAAAGTAGCTGCTTTTCAGCATTGAATGCCGTGAATAGACGTTTAAATATAACGATACATTCAAGCGAAATGATATGAAAAGAACTCACAGAAAATATAACAAGAATAATAAAATAAAAAGGAATACGAAAAAAAGATAAACATCATTTGAAAGACCGATTATGAGCAGCAGATGAAAGAACTTGAAAAGAACACAATCGTCTATTTTTTTTAAAATTGATATGTGGCGGTGTGCAAGGCCCTTCACCGCCTTAAAAACCTACGGTTACACATTGTATGCAGGTAAATCATATGCGCCATCTTTTTTGTCGCCATCACGAATTGTTAAATCTTCCATTGTATAAGTGTCACACAGTTTCGCTTTTTGTACTTCACACAAGTGTACAAACAACAAACTCGACTTATTATAAATGATATATTGTTAATATATAGGTGAATTAAAGTCTGCGAGGCCGCCACATTTGCACACAAACATAAATGGCTCTCATGCGTTATTTTAACACGATCGAAGGATGATATCATTATAGCTCATGCGATTCATAGCGTAGAAAAATCGTGCCATAATGACCTTTCACCTCCTATTGTACGATAATTGGATGAACATGCATATTTTACTAACATCTTATTTATGCCCTAGGCGATGGGTGTTCATTTTTTCGTAGGCTACTGAAATATATTTCTTGTTTTTTTAAAATGGACAGATAAACAAACGAGATAAGTAATTACCTTGAACGGTGCACAATATTTTTTATTCAACTTGTTGAACAAACATTGCATTTAATGTACATTTCTCGTCGTAGTACACTCGAGTGCACTTGTGCACGCCATTATGGATGCATACAGTCATCCTACGATGGCAGGTCGTTATATATGACGCCATATGCCTTAATTAGAGATGAGGTAACATGTCAGTTTTCGTCGACATTTCCGCATAGGAGCGTTAATCCTTTGTGTGGTAGTGATGATTTTTTTTTATGTTGCAGATTTATGTTGTTAGTACTTATCCTTTATTAAAATAGGTCACTTCAGAGATAGAGGGGATATCAACAATCATTAAAAATCATTCTATTCATTTGCTTCCAAATATTTTCTTATATCAACTAAATACTCAAGTAAAACATTTGTACAGCCTACTTAAATAATGACATAAGTAATTTCAGGGATTAGACCTCCCTGCATGGTCACTGCCATTTGGTTATCTCATCAAATCAGCTCTCAATTAACATACGAATGTACTGCATGTAGTGCAGTCTCGCTTTAAAATATATCACATGTCCTCCTTGGACAAACAAACTAGAGGGTAGTGATCCGGTGATTAACTTCTTAGGGTGATTAAATCAATTATTCTAGAGGTAGGTCTATTGTTTTGGGGGTAGTTGCACGGAGTACGGATAGTTATTGTTTAAGTTGTTTAAGTTGTCCTACTGGATGAATACAGGACTCATATATTGCAATACTTATCGATTAACCATGCTTGTATTCGCTATCTTGCAATGTCCTTGTGTTCCAATTAGTATGTCTAATCATTTGTTGAAATTATTTCGTTATTTAAAATGCCAATGTTGATCCAATAATGTCTCAAAACCTTACTGCCAATAAATCTAAATTATAATTGTTCTGGGTCAAATTATTTTGATAACTTCACCTAAATTTCTCCCTCTTCTTCTATCTAAACCTGATGTCGTCTGTCCTTTTCATTTCCCAGTGTTTTTCCCTTCCCGTGTTAATTTTTGAGGTGCAATTTTATTCCTACTTTGTATGTTACTATGCATATAACTGTATTTCAATTTTAAATGTATTGTATTCTAATGTAATTAATATATTTTTTTTGTAATTTCAATTTGTTTCAGTCTTTGGCTGCTATTTGGAATGCATGTTTCAAAAAAGTAATAAAGAAAGTTCAATTAATCAATCACTCAATTGGCGCCTCCTTTCTCACGTGTCAATGTTGTGAGGAGGTGGTAGTCCAGAGGGAACACTATACAGTCCTCAAATTGCAAACATAAGTGAAGTTTTATCCCTACTATTGGTCTTCAAAACTCATGTTCGGTCTTTACGAAACCTTCTTACCCTACACAGCAAGTTACCCCTGATATGCAGGCCACGTCTCATCCCACCCAGCCCGGAGTTCCGGGCCAGACTGTCTACGTCCACCAGCCCGCTCCAGTCAGCTATGCCAATACGGTGCAGAACCCTAACTCGACGAGTGGCGTGTCGCAGAAGTTTAACGGATCTGCCGGGAGAGCGACTGGTTTGCTACATTTGTCCCTCAGCATCGGGAGCATCGTCGTCGCCATTACCGAGTTTGTTATTGGCACCCCAGCAGGCTATGTTGCCATGGGAATTTGGGCAAGTGTTCTGGTAAGTCGCCATTTTTATTTTTATTCTTTGGAGTATCCAATTGTTTCCATACATGATTGCCAGAACTCGACAAAAATCAACATAAGGCAATTATTCCCTGTAAAATGTGCGAACATTAATTTCAACGACTTATTGCACAATCCCACCACCACGCATTATTGCTATGGGACAAACAGTGCGTATAAAGAAAAGTGCTCACTTGTCCGCTGCGCCATTTTACAGTCACGCGTAATGAGCAAAACTTTTTAAAGACCCTGGTGCTTAATCGCTCTTGGCAGAAATATTATGAATTACATAAAAAAACATATTGCTCTTCATCATGAAATAGAATTACCGAATTTAGGTACAATTTTGTATACCCACTGTACAATAGTGTAGTCCAATCCACACTGCATGAGCGTGCATTTCGTTATTTAGTCGATTTTAAACGTCTCCTGTAATTATATATCTTTGTTTTCTCCTCTCTTTCCTGACATTCCTATTGCATTTGTTTGTAAGTACACATGTATGAGGTTTACTGTAATACATTTTAGGCCTATATTATGCGTATTAAATACAGACATGTGCTTTCTTGGACCTTCACATCTTGCCCCACATGTTTACGTTCAGTTAAGGTCTAAGAAAATTTTCTTCTGAAAATGAAAATTTAAAAATGTTACCAAAGTTTGATGAAATTAGTAAATGTTCATAACAACCCTGTCGAAACTCCTTCTTTCTGTTACTCTTCTGTCATTGTACACATTAATCGCATTTGACAATTCTGTAATCTTTCATATTTCCTGAAATTATTTCAAATAAATTTTCTAATAAACTGAATGAATTAAAATTTGATGAATCACTTTTGAGGCCGAGAACACTTTCGAACCAGTCGATTCTGATTTGCAGATTTAACTTAAAGGGATAGTTGAGTACTGTTTTCAAACCGCAAATGCCTTCAAAGTGCATAATTATAGCTCTTATTTTATCTATATATCATTTATAGTGCTCTTTTAGAACTCTTTGCCACCCCTACTAAATTTATTTAAGGCTGTATGCCTAAAATTGCTATGAATGTAATTTTAGACCCCAAAATGTGTGAAATTTCGTCGATGCGATCATACAAATTCAACTCCACTTAAAGATGAAGTTGAGTTCTGGTCATGCGATTGCATTGTGAAAGAAACGGTGTGGAACCGACCAGAAAAGGTTGATCATTTAGCATATAAGAATTTGTGTGTATTGCAAGGTTCTGGAATCATCAAATTGATAAGAAATTTGGCCAAGTCTTGGTAAAGTTACAAACACTGTACACAGAAAGATGTATATGGGACTACACGAACACGTGGCGTAAAAAGCCGCCCCCCGATTTTTACGATGTTACATGCATATTTAGAATGTGAAGGCATTTGAAGAGCAATGCTTTTCAGGGAACATGTCTTATCTGATGTTCTTCCACACTTGCATAATGAGAATGAGTAATGCTCACAAATTATTTTTCACCTCTTCCCAGAACTCAACCTTCTCTTTAAAAAAAAATACGGTGACCGTTAATTAATTATTTATTTAAAAATAACAATACATGGGCCGGCTGGTTTTGCGAATATAACCAACACAAAAATGCCAACAAAAAAGCCAACATCGGTATTGGCTGAAATACGAAGTAAAAGGCGCTATTTCGGTTTCACAACGGCTTTTTCAAATTATCTAATATTTGTGGTGGTACACAAGTATTATAATTCGTTATATGTATGGATATTTCAGCCGTCTCTGAACCTATTTTGATCAAAGATGATTTTGTCATTTAAATTGAATGTTCTTTCGAATTTGACACTCAGTTTTTCATTAACTCACATTTTTTTTTGTTAAGCGCCTTCTGCAACAAAACTTAACTATCCCTTTAATTTGGCATGAGGTTTTATACAGACAGATTCGATAACTATGCAATACCTTTAAACAAGATTGGTTTGAGAAAGAAAAAAATATCAAAACTAGACTATATTTCATTTAGCTAATTCTCAAATCAGTACTAAACTGTAATTATATTGGTGTCTGTTTAGAGCATAATACACAGTGCACGCTACCAAAAAAAATGCTTTGCAATTTTGTAAAAATATTTATCTTATTTCAGCAAAACTGTAAATTGTTTACTGTTAGCAATACGTGTTAATATAAGTGCAACTATTTAAGAGAGAAAAAACATGGGTTATTTTGCATATATATATATATATATATCAAAATTCAGTTGACTTTTGTAATTTTGATTTTAATGGCTGTTATTTATTTCCTCACCTAGTTCTACATTCCTACCGGTATCTTAGGAATATGTTCAAAGCAGAAGAACACTTGCGTGGTATGTATATTTTTGTATAACTAGTTTAGTCTCTTTTATAAATATGTATTCAGTACCCATAACCCCTTTACATGTATGCGTTTCTTGTGATTTCGAGGACTCATAATAATTATGTATACAGCGAAAAAAACATATACCGCACACACATACGCACACGCACCCGCACACCCAAGCACTGCGCACCCACACAATCAATTACCGTGTTTACATAGTGATCCGCCTCGAGGTTTAAAGCCGGGTTGAAGCCGCGAGGCGTGTTGAACCCGGCACTGGAATCCCGTTTACATGACATAAACACGCCTCGTAGCCTAAAGAGACTTATCGCGAAAACCCGAGTGAACGCCAGAGCGAGTGGCCCAGCCAAGTAGCCTTTAGTAATATGGTTTGGATTTCTTATGTTAACCATTGTTTCCGACTAGAATTCTCTACCGAAATGGTACGTCCACTCACCGAACATATCATCGCGTGACGTCGGCATGTAGTTTTCATTACGTTCACATTAAACTCTACGTAGTACGAATACCGAAACGAGTTGGACTGGTTTATTTTATATACAGCGAAAGCCTAATTATCTCACTTACAATTGTTAGCTCAAGTCATCAAATTCTTCCTATTTTATTGTAATTTTGCATGTAAAATAGATTTGGATATGTTATATTGTATTAATCATGTATATGTTCATCTCATAAGCAAAACTAGTTTACGTCTTTTAACTTTTCTTACATGTTTTGATATTGATCTAATCACGAACGAAATCAACTGGGAGATGGTCATTCTGATTGGTCAATAAATCCAAAGTCATGAATAGTTCATGCAGAGCAGTAAAAGCTAGAATCAAAAGGCCTCGCGGCTAAAGCCACTCGATCGCTCGTTCATCCCGGGTCTCTAGACTCATCTCAGCCGCTGATTGGGGTGGGAAATAGCCAGAGTCACGAGGCCTTGTCAAAAGGCTACACGCCTCGCGGCTTCAACCCGGCTTCAACCCTCGAGGCGGATCACTGTGTAAACACAATAAATGTATTCCAAGGCCAGTTAAAGACTTGTTAAATCGATTTTAGCTGAGGAAATGATAGTGTCACTCAACAGTATAGGCAACTACACATGTTACAACAATGAAATAATACATCGGTTCCGCTATTAACATAAACTTTATTCATTTGTTTTGCTGTTGTTTTTTTTCGTTAACAATTTATTTCTAAAAATGTTGTTTTCTTAGATCATCGGCTATCTTACGATGTGTATCATCACAGCAAATGTTGCCTTTGCTCAAATGATTGTTGGTGCCATTGGGGCAGTATTGACCAGTAACTATCCCTATTACTATAACTATGGCGACAGTGGTCGAGGAATAGTGGTATGTATACAGACTGCATGCTGGAATGCATTTCTCTTTAATACGACCTTCCATGAAATGATTGTTGCAGTATGGTTTATTCTTGATAGACAAAGTTCCTATCAGAACATTACTGATCTATCTCTATGATTCTTTAGATTAAATGTTTTATGTCCCTTTACCCCATCAGTTTCGAATGCTTTTCGTCTTTTGTGCTTTTCAATTCTTATCAATATTTTAAAACAGTATTATCATTAACTGAATAAATGCTTTTATATAAACACGTTCGTTTTTTATTGGCCTGGTTTTTAAAAATAATTTCTTCCATCATCCTTCCCTCCACTTGTCAGTATTACAATCTAAATTAAATGTTATTATGATTTCCATTGGCTATTGTATATGTTTCCATATGCATTTATAGATTTTCTTAAATTTCAAGTGTTTCAAATTTGTTATTATGAAGAATTGATTCAATACATGAATGCATAAATATGAATAAATAATTGTTTATACACTGTTGGCCATAATGGTGGAATAATTTTTTTGACCCCGATTTATGGAAAGATTTTAACAATGATTTATTGCTCATAGATCTAGATAAAGTATACATTCTCAGATTTTATTGAATAATATTTTGTGAGTGTTTGTTTTGCGTGACTGCTAAATCATGTGTATGCTACTATGCTCATCAACTAGGGAGCCTACGTCCTTAAGTCATAACTGACAGTAATGAGGATTAATGCCTCATAAAAGGGCACTAATAAAGTGCCTTTATTATCGACACGGTTTTGATCCTAGGGGCTCACAGTAACGAGGCCATTGCTTAGCCACTGAATCATGACTGTACGCAACGGGGGCTAGGGTACGTCGCCGCCACCACAAATACAAAAAAAAGAAAGAAAATGTAATACATTTTCAATAATTCATTGCAAGTTGCCCCGACCCTTAGGATAACAAAATCCACTATGTGGGCATGCCTTGATCCATAATGCATTACCCTACAGAGGAATTTATAACGGTGTGGACCGGGGGGAAATGCAAAAAAATTATTGATAATTTATTGCATTTTCTTTGTTCCTTTTTTTGTATTTGCGGGGGCGGCGACGTACCCTATATAGCCTCCGCTGTGTCATGATTCAGTGGCTAAGCAATGGCCTCGTAACTGTGAGGCCCCAGAATAAAAACTGTGTCGATCAGCTATATTAGTGCCCTTTTGTGAGGCATTAATCCTCATTACTGTCAGTTATGACTTAAGGACGTAGGTCCCCTAGTTAATTAGCATAATAGCACACATATGCTTTAGCAGTCACGCAAAACAAATACTCGCAAATTATTATTCAATAAAATCTGAGAATGTATACTATTATCTAGATCTAATAGGAATAAATCATTGTTAAAATCAACCTATAAATTGGGTTAAAACAAATTATTCCACCATTATGACCAACAGTGTATATGAATATATGTACTGAATGGATGAATGAATGAATGGATGAATGGAATAATAGCTAAATAAAACAATGAAAATATACGTAAATAATAGGTAAAAAAATGATAAATGAATAAATGAATGGGAAGATAAATATATAAACGAAATTAAAACAAATGACTATTCGAATTCGAAAACAGGAAGGAGGCATCGCATCTGACTCACTGTTGGCCATCTTTGGCCTGATCGAGATGGTGGTAGCCATTGTGGCTTCAGCCTTCTGTTGTGGTGGCATGGCCTGTTGTCACTCGTCTTCACCAACAACCACCACTGTGGTGAGTTATTTGTACTATCACCCCTAAATATACAGGGGTGGACATCCACTCTCTTTTGTGGAGAGTCACGTTATTTTTCCTTTCCTTTAGAGTGGAAAATCTACGCTAAGATGTTGGAATCCATTGTCACAAGGGAAATACAACCACTTATATTTGTAGCTGTTTCCAGTTAATTTCCATTACAGGTACATTTTAGCAACTTTGGTTTAACAAAAGCTCCCTATAGGAAGAAACATCAATCGTGAGCAAAGGTCGAGGTGGCACGGGGTTGTTGCCACCCCTACTAAATTTATTTAAGGCTGTATGCCAATTTCAAAAGACTTTGAATGACCGAGATTTGTTGTTGTTTTGCTCTGCATGTCAGTATATTCCAGCAATTTTTTCAATTTTAGTCAACATCATCCCCTTAAAACCCGTTCCGTCAAAAACTTTGCAGAGACGCTCCTTTAACCAGATATTTAACAAGACCTTATTAAAAAGTTACACATGTAGATTGATTAAAACAATAATGTCCTAGTGATTTGTTTTTTGTTTCTAGTTATCATTATAATATGCTTGGCTTCAGTATAGCAGTCGGACAAGTAATATGACTTCACTGGAACTACGAACCCACGAAGGTCGTAGGTACGAGCCCTCGCAAGGCACAGCAGACATTTAATACTGTCAAAGGACATCATTTGCAAATTGATATGATTCCCCTGCACCAATGGCATGTGGCAATATACATTTGCTACTCTCAATCCAGCTGAAGTAATGGGTACCTGATAACATGTATTCATTGCCATGATTACATGATATGCACTACAGCAACAGGATGCGAAGCCAGAATAATGCTGTCCAACAGAGTATTAGTTGATCATATGTATTGTAAACTATACAAAAGAAGAACAGGTCTATTGCTATTATCATTGTTTATTTCATTTGGTTTGTATCTAACATTTATTTGTACTTGTTTCAATTTCCTTTGCAGTACACCCACCAGAACATTCCGATGGTTGTGACAACCGGTATGTATATAACGATTGTTTGTGTTTTTGTTTCAACTTCGATCTATAGTTACTTGGTAACAAACATGGTATTTCCATTAACTAGTTGATATAGAAAGGAAACGGTAGGAAGTATAGACTGTGATACTAGCAATATCAGAGCTAAGGATTGGGGGATGTTTTATTATACCTAAATTGGTACATCTTATTATCTTTAAATGCTAGATTGTTGGTGAAATGTTAGCAAGTGTACTTCTCTGTTCCATTTCTCATTAAACTTTATGGTATTAACAAAACCCCGTAATAAACACATAAATTATTAATTCTACTTGATTTATTGTCAGATCCCAACTAGAATATTGTTCAACGTGTGACAAACTTGAGGTATACTATTATCGTTGAAATGTGGTCGGTAGCGTATCGGAAACAAAACCTCGGACTTGTCCACATACATCTACACAAAGTTGGCGACAATTTTGCAAGTTTGAATGATAATACTTCACAGTTATGGTTAATATTCTGAAATGAATGTGCTTATTTTTTATGAATACGCTTCATTATCGATAACTTGATTGAACTTCCTTTCACTTTCTTTGAATTTTAATGTTACTCTGCACTATACAATCAATTTAGTTATCGTGATTTATTGATGTAAGAGGAAAATTATACTACTAATTCCTTGAATTTTCATTGTCTCTACGCAGACCAGTACACTCAGCCGGCGGGAATTGCTCAGCTCCCTCCCGGACACAACGTTCAGCAGGCGTATCCCCCTGCTGGCCAGCCTGTTGCTCCAGCTCCCTACAACCAAGCTCCTGCTGTCCTGTACAACCAGGCTCCTGGTGCCCCCTACAACCAGGCTCCTGTTGCCCCGTACAACCAAGCTCCTGCTGCTCCGTCGAACTAGGCTCCCTCTTACTCGCACAACTAACAAGCAGCTGCTGCACCCATCAGGTCTGGCGAAATGGTCGCTTAAATGCGTTAAAAAAATGTTTCTTATTAATAAAACTACTCGGATATGTGGATGTTTATATTCGGAATAACAAGCCATAACTATATTTTTGATAAATAAAATTCAAGCCTACTCTGAGACACACGGATATCCAGAGAAAAAGTAGTTCATCCTCACACACTTTTTATTATTCTGAAGAGAGTGGTTTCGATTGTTAGCCGTGATACAGTGATTATAATTTTACATCAATTCTTATCTAATTTCCTCAATTGGTAATTAAAAGATAGCAGATGAAGAAAACAAAGCTAAAATAATGGCTGATCTTTTTTGATAGCTACGCATAAAGTCAAGAAAAACAAACATGTTATCCTTACATGATATAACATAGCAAATTATATTATACAAAAATTTGTGGTATGAAAGTAAAATAAGTGTCCTCTTTTCATCACGTGAAGCTAAAACCCCCTCACCCATCATTCCACCCAACTTGGGAAATAGAGAACCCTTTTTGTTACTATTTATTAAGCGGCTGGGCTTCAATTGAATACTCTTGATGACTGCACAGAAAGATCTGTGAAAAGAACAAAGATATCAACAACAAATAACATTAACAGCATAAAACAGCTGAATGTCACAGTGCGAAAAATATGTAACCAGCCAACTTGTAGACGAAAAGTTATGCATACTGCATTTAAACTAAATGGGCTGATATTCCCTAACTGCTTTATAAATCATCAAAATGTTAATTCAGAGGACCAAACAAGAACATTTTAAATTGTAATAAAATAAATTGAAGAAAAATTTATTTTACTTCGATATAGATACAAACCGTTTGTTTGTATGTTGATTCAGTATCCCTATTAAACCTTGAAAATAAGTAGCCTTTTTCTAGTTGCCTGAAGTGTAGTGGAATATATCCAATTACCGGTGTATATTTGTTTACCTGATGATATATTAATATTGTGCCTTTCGATCTTTTGACTGTCATTTTGGAAGTAATCAATTCGTCAATTAATTAAGTTGCCGAAGATCGATGAGAATTTAAGACAAAAGATGATTTAAAGTGTAAAGAATTTCAGATAATTGTGTGAAATTGATCTTTTCTGAATTCTAAACATAAGATAAATCAATGCGTACGTCGTATGATAGTTTAAATAACTTCATAATCTAAACTAAATACAAAAGCAATTCTGTACAAAACCTTCAATGAATTATCGTTGTTAAAGTGGCTGAAACGCAAAACAGAGTGCCATTAACAGGTCAAATTTTGAAACAAGAAAACAAATGAAAAGGGAAAAGATTCCTTTTACAACAATAAGGTGGGTAATTTAAGTTGTGTCCTGTGTTTACTGCATTTTTCTGTTTAATTTAGAACTGATTTATAAGGTGAATTATACAGAAGTACAACAGACAGAAATTAACAAAAAGAAGACAAAACAAAACATCATTGAAATTAGTATATGTTATTTTAAAACAATTTGAATTTTAGATTCGTTGACATTACATAAACAGTACAATACCTTACATTTTGCCTTCTTCCGTGCTCATTCTTATCATGTATTTATTTTTGTTAAATGACTCTTTCTATATCCGAAGTCATAAATATGCTTAGATTGACGTAGGCACTCCAAATACCTTTGAGCTGAAACTTCTACTTTCTGAAATATTCTTTTTGAGACTTTGTATATTCAGCTTTATTCTCAAATCTTACAAGGCGCGTATAGTAAGAGACACTTTTCATATTTTTTAAATTATTTTTGTAGATGAAATATTTGAGCAGCTGTTAAATCTAAAGCTTCATTACTTCAAATCTTTATTTTTAATTATAGAACTGTTTTTAGAATATAAGTTTTTTTGAAAACAGTGATCTTTTCATTCCTTTAGGTTTCACTGTAGTTCAATTGTTAATGTATAATAATAATAATAATAATAATGGCTTCATTTCGTGATATATCAGATAGTGCATTCAGCTCGCTAATATTTGCACTCGTCTCCGAATCGTGTAATATTCTCGAGCTTAATGCAAAATATCTGATATACCTTCTAATGCTTCTTGTATCATTCACTGAGGTACAGCCTGCGGTAAACATATCATCTGTACAATAAACTTTTAGATTTTGATCATTTTGTATCAACCAGTCATCACTAACTTGACCACGGAGAGAGAAAGAGAGGGGGAGAGAGAGGGGGAGAGAGAGGGGGAGATATATGGAGGGAGAGAGAGAGAGGACATCTTTGAAGAGAGGGGAATAGAGGCAGGGGCGGATCCAGTCGACGGCAGGGGAGGGGGCCAAAGAGAGGGCCCACTTCGTGAGAAATTAATGAGCGACGAAACAGCCAGCCGGTGAATATTTATTTTTGCCCCCGAAAATTTTAAAATCGCACCCCTCCCCTTGAGCACCAGGTGAGGGGGCCTTTCTTTATTAACAAATAAAGATAAACTTCCTAGGGAAGGGGGCCGAGCCCCCCCCCCGGCCCCCTGGAATGAAGAAAAAGAGGATGAGAGAAGGAGAGGGACAGAGACATACTCACAAAACAAGAAGAAAAAAGGAATGAAAGCTAGAACTAGAGGATAAGATAACGAGAGGGACAACGATAGAGAGAGAGAGAGAGAGATCAAACAAGACAGAGGAATGAAGAGAAAGACAGAGCAAGAGGAAGAAAAAGAGAAATAGGGACACTAAGAGAGACAGGGGAATCAAGGACAAGAGAAGGAGAAATCAAGAAAGAGTGAGAGAGAGACACCAAGGAAGACAGAGAAATTGCAAGAAGAAAACTAGGTTGAGGAATTAGAGGGGGAAAGATAGGGAGAAAGAGAGAGAGAGAGAGGGAGGAGGAAATAGAGAGAGAGAGAGAGAGAGAAAGAGAGGATCGAGACGAAGAGAGAAAGAGAGGATCGAGACCAAGAAAGACAGAGCAATTGAGGAAAAGACAGGGAGAAAGGAAAGAGAGAGAGAGAGAGAGAGAGAAAGAGAGACCGTAGAAAGCCCTTAAAGGGCTTGTAGGGCAGCTTACGGGTCCCATGCGGGCTCCGGACAGTGCCCGGATGGACCCCTCACGATTTGGGGGGTCAATTCTCATGAAAAATCTTTTCTGGCGCCTTGCGGTGCTCAAGGGTTCAGTACGCATAGGCGCCGAAAGTAAGGGGGGGGTGGGCAGGGGGCATTTTTGCCCCCCCCCCCAAACAAAACAAAAAATAAAAAATAAATAAACGCCCCCCCCCCCCCTCCGAAAAAAAATGCAGTATAGGAGTAAAGATGGTTTTTATTTTTTACCCAAAAGAACAGAACAATAATAAATACTGGAATTAAATCACATATAAAATTTCATTCAAAGAAAAGGAAAGTTAACAGGAATTCAATTTTCTAAACATTCCGCATGCCACCTATATTTATCAATAGAGGTTTTTATTATAGCGATACGCGCATATCGTGGAAATATTGTGAGAGGATGGAAAAGCGTGAGTTTTTTTTGTTATAGGGGTGATAAGACATAGGCCCCTGAACACTAGCTTACTGATGGGGGGGGGGGGGGGGGTATTTCTTATTCGATACCACTGCTTTACAAATGTTGCTGAAATGATATGATTTTCCGATACCTTTTATATACCTTTTTATGCGTTTGTTGGAAAATTAGAAATTCCCTAATTTACAGTCGGGCGACAAATATGATTATTTAGAAGCCTTTAAATCAGGGCCTGAAGAAACGGCTCGGCTCGGGGGCTCGAGCCCCCCTCACTTTTTGAAAAAGTATGTTACAGAGATAAAGAAAAAACGAGAGAGAGAAAAAAATAGAGACCTGCCAATGTCACAAATGAGGTATCAAAATATGCTTATCTGACCGTAATGAAATACCTAGAACCCCTGAGCTTCCGAGGGCTCTCCCCCCTGACCGCTACCAAAGGCCCCAAGGTGGGCCCATGGGTGCTCATCTGACCGTAATCAAATACCTGAAACCCCTTAGGTTCCGGACCACATCAATTGCCTTAAATAGGGCCCCTGGATGCTCATCTGACCGTAATTAAATACCTAAAACCCCTGAGCTTTCGGGGGCTCTGCTCCCTGGACCCCCTCCAAGGGCCCTAAGGCGGGCCCCTAAATGCTCATTTGACCGTTATTTAATACCTGAAACTCCTTAGCCTCCGAATCATATCAATTGCTTTAAATAAGGCACCTGGATGTCTTTTAACCGCAAATAAGGTATATCAATATGCTTATCTGACCCAATGTAATGCCTAAAAACCCTAAGCTTTCGGGGGGGTTGGCCCCTTGACGCCCCTGCCGGGGCTTCCAAACCTTTTTGCTCATACGCCACTGCCCCTGGAAGGTGAGCCCCCTGGAACATTTGCCCCCCCCCCCCCCAATACCAAAATGCTTCCGGCGCGCCTGTCCGTACGTGTACCCTAAGGCTCCCTCACAGGCGTCTGCCGTCCGGGGCCATTTAAAATGAATATTGCCCGTGCGGGTCCCTCACGGCGGCATCTCGAAATGTACAACGCAGATTTAATACAGGAGGTGTGGATACCAGAGGACACATACAAAGTGAGTCAGAAAAAATGTCCCACGTTTTAAAAGTTGTATTGTTTGAAGTATGAATATTTAATCATGAGTTTCATGATATGTCTTGATAGAGTTATCGTCCCAATACAATTAGGTACCATTTTCATTTAAATCTCTGCATGCATGACTGAACATCGGACAATCTTTACAAGACTGCCAGATCTCACTTGCGCCAAGTTGCTAGGTGAGGAATAAAATAGTGTTTTGAACAAAAACAGCCATTTTTTTTTCAATTATCCAATTATCCATAAACAGACAAAACACACAAACACACACACACACACACACGCACACAAAGTAGAGGTTGGTGATGATGCCTTAGTCCTTTGACTGCCCTAAGCGGTTACAACCGCAGCAAGTCTCTGATGTCAAATACGCTGGGATTATTAAAATCATGTCTTTCCTTTTAAAACTTAAAATAAGTTACATAATTGTTTGATTTGATATCTTTATCATGTTCATGGTACATCGATTGTGTTAAGTTACACAAAATGTGTTGTATAACCTAATTTATGATATGCGTTCATAAATTTGATGTCATGTAACGGGATCGACAGATTTCTTTTAAACAAAATATTTGGTTCAAGCAACGAGGGACTTACAAAAAGACTTGTATGGTCGTGATCGAAGAACGAGAAGGTGGCGGAGATTGGTAGCTCGTTTGTGGAACCATCATCGTTAGCTGGTAGGAATTCGTCCCCTTCATTCAATCCAAATGGAAAGAACAAACCTAAATAATCGGGAAAATAAAAGGGGAATATAAGAAACAGCTTCAGCACCGTACCTAACTGCTGCGCGAGCAACGCGACCGAGCACAAAAAGAAGAAAAGAACGACTGTTGAGGTCACATATAGACCGATATTGTTCCCATCATTAGAAAATCATGATGAGGATTAAGGACAATGAGAACATGAATACAGACCTTCAATATAATACTTAAAGAGATAAATTTGACGAGATAAAATATTTGCGGGAAATTTGAGAAAAAAATACTCTTTTTAAAATAGTCGCTTTTAATTAGGGTCACTTATTAGGAAGGGTATGGAAAATATATTGTTCTGGGGAGATGAGGGATGATGAGAACATGTTACATATAGCACGAATATTCATTATGTCTCAGTCTTTAAACATGAATGACATTAGGTATAGTAAATGCAGTGCCCTTGAGTTTGGAAACTCTTGCATTGTCTAAACTGTAATGCTATCGAGCTAAGGACAGTTAATCTACTTTACATTCAATCGATCAACATTGGTTATACATGGCATGAGGGCGCCTATTTTTCTATTTCTAAATATTCATTATTATCATATTACATACAATTTATCTTCCATGAAGAATTATTGCACTTTCCCTAGCAATCATGCATATTTGTATTTTACCATTATTTTCTTTTCTTGAAAATAGTGATATAATAATGATTCAGTATTTATATTTCTCATGTGTGCAAAATACTTTCCTAATTGTAGATGTAATTGTGTTTGCCAAAAGGTAAATTCCCACTTCGGTTAACATTGTCAGTTGGCTGTTTAGCCTCCTAGGCTGATGGAAAATTATTCATAAAGCCTATGTATATATATA